TTCATCCTCAAATCCCAGGAATTTCATCCTCAAATCCCAGAAATTTCATCCTCAAATTCCAGGAATTTCATCCTTAACTCCCAGGAATTTCATCCCTAAATCCCAGGAATTTCATCCCTAAATCCCAGGAATTTCACCCTCAAATCCCAGGAATTTCATCCCTAAATCCCAGGAATTTCATCCCTAAATCCCAGGAATTTCATCCCTAAAATCCCAGAAATTTCATCCCTAAATCCCAGGAATTTCATCCCTAAATCCCAGGAATTTCATCCCTAAATCCCAGAATTTTCCTCCTTTAATCCCAGAAATTTCATCCCTAAATCCCAGGAATTTCAAGCTCAAATCCCAGGAATTTCATCCCTAAATCCCAGAAATTTCATCCCTAAATCCCAGGAATTTCATCCCTAAATTCCATGAATTTCATCCCTAAATCCCAGGAATTTCATCCTCAAATCCCAGGAATTTCATCCCTAAAATCCCAGGAATTCCATCCCTAAATCCCAGGAATTTCATCCCTAAATCCCAGGAATTTCATCCCTAAATCCCAAGAATTTCATCCCTAAATCCCAGGAATTTCATCCCTAAAATCCTAAAAATTCCATCCTTAAATCCCAGGATTTTCATCCCTCAAATCCCAGGAATTTCATCCTCAAATCCCAGAAATTCCATCCTCAAATCCCAGGAATTTCACCCTCAAATCCCAGGATTTTCATCCCTAAATCCCAGAAATTTCATCCTCAAATCCCAGGAATTTCATCCTCAAATCCCAGAAATTTCATCCCTAAATCCCAGGAATTTCATCCTCAAATCCCAGAAATTTCATCCCTAAATCCCAGAAATTTCATCCCAAAATCCCAGAAATTTCATCCCTAAAATCCCAGGAATTTCATCCTCAAATCCCAGGAATTTCATCCCTAAATCCCAGAAATTCCATCCCTAAATCCCAGGAATTTCACCCTCAAATCTCAGGAATTTCATCCCAAAAATCCCAGGAATTTCACCCCTAAAATCCCAGAAATTTCAACCTCAAATCCCAGGAATTTCATCCCTAAATCCCAGAAATTTCATCCCTAAATCCCAAGAAATTTCACCCCCAAATCCCAGAAATTCCATCCCTAAATCCCAGGAATTTCATCCCTAAATCCCAGGAATTTCATCCCTAAAATCCCAGGAATTTCATCCTTAAATCCCAGCAATTTCATCCCTAAAATCCCAAAATTTCCATCCCTAAATCCCAGAAATTTCATCCTAAATCCCAGGAATTTCATCCTCAAATCCTTGGAATTTCATCCCTAAATCCCAGGAATTTCACCTCAAATCCCAGGATTTTCATCCATAAATCCCAAGAATTTCATCCCTAAAATCCCAGGAATTTCATCCCTAAATCCCAGGAATTTCATCCTCAAATCCCAGGAATTTCACCCTCAAATCCCAGGAATTTCAACCTCAAATCCCAGGAATTTCATCCTCAAATCCCAGAAATTTCATCCCTAAAATCCCAGGAATTTCATCCCTAAATCCCAGGAATTTCATCCTCAAATCCCAGAAATTTCATCCTAAAATCCCAGGAATTTCATCCCTAAATTCCAAAAATTTCATCCCTAAAATCCCAAGAATTTCATCCTCAAATCCCAGGAATTTCATCCTCAAATCCCAGGAATTTCATCCTCAAATCCCAGGAATTTCATCCTCAAATCCCAGGAATTTCATCCCTAAATCCCAGGATTTTTACCCTCAAATCCCAGGAATTTCATCCTCAAATCCCAGGAATTTCATCCTCAAATCCCAGGAATTTCACCCTCAAATCCCAGGAATTTCATCCCTAAATCCCAGAAATTTCATCCTCAAATCCCAGAAATTTCATCCCTAAATCCCAGAATTTTCCTCCTTAAATCCCAGGAATTTCATCCCCAAATCCCAGGAATTTCATCCCTAAATCCCAGGAATTTCACCCTCAAATCCCAGAAATTTCAACCTTAAAATCCCAGGAATTTCATCCCTAAATCCCAGAATTTTCCTCCTTAAATCCCAGGAATTTCATCCTCAAATCCCAGGAATTTCATCCTCAAAATCCCAGGAATTTCATCCCTAAATCCCAGGAATTTCATCCCTAAATCCCAGAAATTTCCTCCCTAAATCCCAGGAATTTCATCCCTAAATCCCAGGAATTTCATCCCTAAAATCCCAGAAATTTCATCCCTAAAATCCCAGGAATTTCATCCTCAAATCCCAGGAATTTCATCCTCAAATCCCAGGAATTTCATCCTCAAATCCCAAGAATTTCATCCCTAAATCCCAGAAATTTCATCCTCAAATCCCAGGAATTTCATCCCTAAATCCCAAGAATTTCAACCTCAAATCCCAGGAATTTCATCCCTAAATCCCAGGAATTTCATCCCTAAATCCCAGGAATTTCATCCTCAAATCCCAGGATTTTCATCCCTTAAATCCCAGAAATTTCATCCCTAAATCCCAGAAATTTCATCCCTAAATCCCAGGATTTTCATCCTTAAATCCCAGGAATTTCATCCTCAAATCCCAGAATTTTCCTCCTCAAAATCCCAGGAATTTCATCCCTAAATCCCAGGAATTTCATCCCTAAATCCCAGAAATTTCATCCTCAAATCCCAGAAATTTCATCCCTAAATCCCAGGAATTTCAACCTCAAATCCCAGGAATTTCATCCCTAAATCCCAGAAATTTCACCCTCAAATCCCAGAAATTTCATCCCTAAATCCCAGAAATTTCATCCTCAAATCCCAGGAATTTCATCCTCAAATCCCAGGAATTTCATCCCTAAATCCCAGGAATTTCATCCCCAAATCCCAGAATTTTCATCCCTAAATCCTAAAAATTTCATCCCTAAATCCCAGGAATTTCATCCCTAAATCCCAGAAATTTCACCCTCAAATCCCAGAAATTTCATCCCTAAAATCCCAGAAATTTCATCCCTAAATCCCTGGAATTTCACCCCTAAATCCCAGGAATTTCATCCCTAAAATCCCAGAAATTTCATCCCTAAATCCCAAAATTTTCATGCTTTAAATCCCAGAAATTTCATCCTCAAATCCCAAGAATTTCATCCTCAAATCCCAGGAATTTCATCCCTAAATCCCAGAATTTTCCTCCTCAAATCCCAAGAATTTCATCCTCAAATCCCAGGATTTTCATCCCTAAATCCCAGAATTTTCCTCCCTAAATCCCAGAAATTTCATCCCTAAATCCCAGAATTTTCATCCTGAAATCTCAGGAATTTCATCCTCAAATCCCAAAAATTTCACCCCTAAATCCCAGAAATTTCATCCTTAAAATCCTAAAAATTCCATCCTTAAATCCCAGAAATTTCATCCCTAAATCCCAGGAATTTCACCCTCAAATCCCAGGAATTTCATCCTCAAATCCCAGGAATTTCACCCTAAATCCCAGGAATTTCATCCCTAAAATCCCAGAAATTTCAACCTCAAATCCCAGGAATTTCATCCCTAAATCCCAGAAATTTCACCCTAAATCCCTGGAATTTCATCCCCAAATCCCAGGAATTTCTTCCTCAAATCCCAGGAATTTCATCCCCAAATCCCAGAAATTTCATCCCTTAAATCCCAGAAATTTCATCCTCAAATCCCAGGAATTTCATCCCTAAATCCCAGAAATTTCACCCTTAAATCCCAGGAATTTCACCCTCAAATCCCAGGAATTTCACCCTCAAATCCCAGGAATTTCATCCCTAAATCCCAAGATTTTCATCCTCAAATCCCAGAATTTTCCTCCTCAAATCCCAGAAATTTCACCCTCAAATCCCAGGAATTTCATCCCTAAAATCCCAGGAATTTCATCCCTAAATCCCAGGAATTTCATCCCTAAATCCCAGGAATTTCACCCTCAAATCCCAGAAATTTCATCCCTAAATCCAAGAAGTTTCATCCTCAAATCCCAGGAATTTCATCCCTAAATCCCAGGATTTTCATCCCTAAATCCCAGGAATTTCATCCTTAAATCCCAGGAATTTCATCCTCAAATCCCAGAATTTTCTTCCTAAATCCCAGGAATTTCATATCTAAATCCCAGGAATTTCATCCTTAAAATCCCAGAAATTTCATCCCAAATCCCAGGAATTTCATCCTCAAATCCCAGGAATTTCATCCTCAAATCCCAGAAATTCCATCCTCAAATCCCAGAAATTTCATCCTCAAATCCCAGAAATTCCATCCTCAAATCCCAGAAATTTCATCCTTAAATCCCAGAATTTTCATCCCTAAATCCCAGGAATTTTATCCTCAATTCCCAGAAATTTCATCCCTAAATCCCAGGATTTTCATCCCTAAATCCCAGGAATTCCATCCTTAAATCCCAGGAATTTCATCCCTAAAATCCCAGGAATTTCATCCCTAAATCCCAGGAATTTCATCCCTAAATCCCAGGAATTTCACCCCTAAAATCCCAGGAATTTCATCCCTAAATCCCAAAAATTTCATCCCTAAATCCCAGGAATTTCATCCCTAAAATCCCAAGAATTTTATCCCTAAATTCCAGGAATTTCACCCCTAAATCCTTGGAATTTTATCCTTAAATCCCAAAAATTTCATCCCTAAATCCCAGGAATTTCATCCCTAAAATCCCTGGAATTTCATCCTCAAATCCCAGGAATTTCATCCCTAAATCCCAGAATTTTCATCCTTAAATCCCAGAAATTTCATCCCTAAATCCCAGGAATTTCATCCTCAAATCCCAGGAATTTCATCCCTAAATCCCAGAATTTCATCCTAAATCCAGAATTTCATCCTAATCCCAGGAATTCCATCCCTAAATCCCAGGAATTTCATCCCTAAATCCCAGAAATTTCATCCCTAAATCCCAGGAATTTCATCCTTAAATCCCAGAAATTTCACCCCTAAAATCCCAGGAATTCCATCCCTAAATCCCAGGAATTTCATCCCTAAATCCCAGGAATTTCATCCCTAAAATCCCAAAAATTTCATCCTCAAATCCCAGAAATTTCATCCCTAAATCCCAGGATTTTCACCCTCAAATCCCAGAAATTTCATCCCTAAAATCCCAGAAATTTCATCCTCAAATCCCAGGAATTTCATCCCTAAATCCCAGGAATTTCATCCCTAAATCCCAGGAATTTCATCTTCAAATCCCAGAATTTTCATCCCTAAATCCCAGAATTTCACCCTCAAATCCCAGGAATTTCATCCCTAAAATCCCAGAAATTTCACCCTCAAATCCCAGGAATTTCATCCCAAAATCCCAGGATTTTCATCCCTAAATCCCAGGAATTTCATCCCTAAATCCTTGGAATTTCATCCCTAAATCCCAGAAATTTCATCCCTAAATCACAGGAATTTCATCCTCAAATCCCAGAAATTTCATCCCTAAATCCCAGGAATTTCATCCCTAAATCCCAGGAATTTCATCCCTAAATCCCAGGAATTCCATCCTTAAATCCCAGGATTTTAATCCCTAAAATCCCAGAAATTTTATCCCAAAATCCCAGGAATTTCATCCCAAATCCCAGGAATTTCATCCTTAAATCCCAGGAAAAGAATCCTTGGAATTATGGATTATTGGATTTGGATTCCCAAACTCTTCCCATTCCTCTTGGGCTTCTCCTTGGCCTCCATTCCAGGTAAGTTCTTGGAATTCTGGGAATTTTGGGGGGGAATTTATGGAATTTTTTTGGGAAAATTCCTGTTTTTAATGGATTTTTTGGGAAAATTCACGATTTTTATGGGATTTTTGGGGGAAAAATTCCCGGTTTTTTATGGGATTTTTTTGGGGGAAAAATTTCCGGTTTTTTATGGGATTTTTTTTGGGAAAATTCCTGGGTTTTTATGGGATTTTTTGGGGGGGAATTCCCGATTTTTAATGGGATTTTTTGGGAAAAATTTCCCAGTTTTTTATGGGATTTTTTGGGGAAAAATTCCTGGGTTTTTATGGGATTTTTTTGGGATTTTTTTGGGGGGGAATTCCGGTTTTTTATGGGATTTTTTTGGGAAAATTCACGATTTTTTATGGGATTTTTTGGGGGGGAATTCCCGTTTTTTTTAATGGGAATTTTTTTTGGGAATTCCTGGGGTTTTATGGGATTTTTGGGGGGGAATTCCCGGTTTTTTGTGGGATTTTTTGGGAAAAATTCCCGGTTTTTTAATGGGATTTTTTGGGGGGGAATTCCCAGTTTTTTATGGAATTTTTTGGGGAAAATTCACGATTTTTTATGGGATTTTTTGGGGTGGAATTCCCGGGTTTTTATGGGATTTTATGGGATTTTTGGGGGGGAATTCCCAGGATTTTTTATGGGATTTTTTGGGGGGAATTCCCGGTTTTTTTATGGGATTTTTTTTGGGATTTCAGCTTGGAAAAAAGGGAGGGAAATTCCTGATTTTTATGGGATTTTTTGGGGGGAATTCCTGGTTTTTTATGGGATTTTTTGGGGGGAATTCCTGGGTTTTTTATGGGATTTTTGGGGGATTTCAGCTTGGAAAAAAGGGAGGGAAATTCCCGATTTTTATGGAATTTTTTTGGGAAAATTCACGATTTTTTAATGGGATTTTTTGGGGAAAAATTCCTGGGTTTTTTATGGGATTTTTTGGGATTTTTTTGGGGGGGAATTTCCGGTTTTTTATGGAATTTTTTTTGGAAAATTCGCGATTTTTTATGGGATTTTTTGGGGAAAAATTCCTGGTTTTTAAGGGATTTTATGGGATTTTTTTGGGGTGGAATTCCCTGGTTTTTAATGGGATTTTTTTTGCAAAATTCCCGATTTTTTATGGGATTTTTTGGGGAAAAATTCCCAGGTTTTTATGGAATTTTTTTGGGAAAATTCCCGATTTTTATGGGATTTTTTTTGGGGGAATTCCCGTTTTTTTATGGGATTTTTTTGGATTTTTTGGGGGAATTCCCCGGTTTTTTATGGAATTTTTTGGGGAAAATTCCCTATTTTTTATTGGATTTTTTTGGGATTTCAACTTGGAAAAAAGGGGGGGAAATTCCCGATTTTTATGGGATTTTTTTGGGGGAATTCCCGGTTTTTTATGGGATTTTTTGGGGGGAAAGTCCCAGGGTTTTTATGGGATTTTTTGGGGGAATTCCCGGGTTTTTGTGGGATTTTTTGGGAAAAATTCCCGGGGTTTTATGGGATTTTTTGGGATTTTTTAGGGGGGAATATTCCCGTTTTTTTATGGGATTTTATGGGATTTTTGGGGGGGGAATTCCCGGTTTTTTATGGAATTTTTTTTGGAAAAATCCCTGGTCTTTTATAGGATTTTTGGGGATTTTTTGGGGGGGAAAATTCCCGGGTTTTTTATGGGATTTTTTGGGAAAATTCCTGGGTTTTTATGGGATTTTTTGGGGGGGAATTCCCCTTTTTTTATGGGAATTTTTTGGGGGAATTCCAGTTTTTTATGGGATTTTTTGGGGGGGAATTCCCGGGTTTTTTATGGGATTTTTTTGGGATTTCAACTTGGAAAAAAGGGGGGAAAATTTCCGATTTTTATGGGATTTTTGGGGGGAATTCCCAGGATTTTTTATGGGATTTTTTTGGGGAAAATTCCCAGTTTTTTAATGGGATTTTTTTGGGAAAATTCACGATTTTTTATGGGATTTTTTAGGGGGGAATTCCTGGTTTTTTATGGATTTTGGGGGAATTCCCCTTTTTTTTAATGGGATTTTTGGGGGAAAAATTTCTGGGTTTTTATGGGATTTTTTGGGGATTTTTTTGGGGGAAAATTCCCAGGTTTTTTATGGGATTTTTTTGGGAAAATTCCCTGTTTTTTTATGGGATTTTATGGGATTTTTTGGGGGGAATTCCCGGTTTTTTATGGGATTTTTTTTGGAAAATTTCCCGATTTTTTATGGGATTTTTAGGGATTTTTGGGGGGCAATTCCCGGTTTTTTATGGGATTTTTTTTGGGATTTCAGCTTGGAAAAAAGGGGGGAAAATTCCCGATTTTTATGGGATTTTTTTGGGGGGAATTCCCAGTTTTTTGTGGGATTTTTTGGGGGGAATTCCCGATTTTTTAATGGAATTTTTTTGGGAAAATTCACGATTTTTTTATGGGATTTTTTGGGGAAAAATTCCTGGGTTTTTGTGGGATTTTTTGGGATTTTTTTGGGGGGGAATTCCCGATTTTTTAATGGAATTTTTTTGGGAAAATTCACGGTTTTTTATGGGATTTTTTATGGGATTTTTTTGGGGGAATTCCCGGTTTTTAATGGGAATTTTTTTGGAAAATTCCCGGGTTTTTATGGGATTTTTTGGGGAAAAATTCCTGGGTTTTTATGGGATTTTTTGGGATTTTTTGGGGGGGAATTCCCGGTTTTTTTATGGGATTTTTATGGGGTTTTTTTAGGGGGGAATTCCCAGGTTTTTTATGGGATTTTTTGGGATTTTTTGGGGGGAGAATTCCCGTTTTTTTATGGGATTTTTGGGGATTTTTTGGGGGGAATTCCCAGTTTTTTATGGGATTTTTTTTGGGGGGGGGAATTCCCCATTTTTTATGGGATTTTTTGGGGAATAATTCCTGGTTTTTTATGGGATTTTTTGGGATTTTTTGGGGAAAAATTCCTGGGTTTTTATGGGATTTTTTGGGGGAAAATTCCCGGTTTTTTATGGAATTTTTTTTGGGAAAATTCCCGATTTTTTATGGGAGTTTTTGGGGAAAAATTCCTGGTTTTTTATGGGTTTTTATGGGATTTTTTTGGGAAAATTCCCGGGTTTTTTATGGGATTTTTTTTGGGGGAATTCCCAGGTTTTTTATGGGATTTTTGGGGGGGGAATTCCCGGGTTTTTTATGGGATTTTTTGGGGAAAATTCCCGGTTTTTTTATGGGATTTTTTTGGGAAAAATTCCCGGGTTTTTATGGGATTTTTTTGGGGGAATTCCCGATTTTTTATGGATTTTTGGGGAATTCCCAGTTTTTTATGGAATTTTTTTGGGAAAATTCCCTGGTTTTTATGGGATTTTTTGGGATTTTTTGGGGGGAATTCCCGGTTTTTTATGGGATTTTTTTGGGGGGAATTCCTGGTTTTTTATGGGATTTTTTGAGATTTTTTGGGGGGAATTCCCTGGTTTTTTATGGGATTTTTTGGGGGGAATTCCCGGGTTTTTTATGGGATTTTTTGGGGGGAATTCCTGGGTTTTTATGGGATTTGTTTGGGATTTTTTGGGGGGGAATTCCCAGGTTTTTTATGGGATTTTATGGGATTTTTTTGGGGGAATTCCAGGGTTTTTAATGGGATTTTTTTGGGGAAAATCCCGGTTTTTTATGGGATTTTATGGGAATTTTTTTGGGGGAATTCCCGGGTTTTTTATGGGTTTATTTTGGGAAAATTCCCGATTTTTTATGGGATTTTTGGGGGGGAATTCCCGATTTTTTATGGGATTTTTTTGGGGGGAATTCCCGATTTTTTATGGGATTTTTTTGGGAAAATTCACGATTTTTTATGGGATTTTTTGGGTGGAAAATTCCCAGTTTTTTATGGGATTTTATGGGATTTTTTGGGAGGGAATTCCCGTTTTTTTATGGAATTTTTGGGGGAAAATTCCCGATTTTTTATGGGATTTTTTTGGGAGAAATTCCCGGTTTTTTAATGGGATTTTTTTTGGAGGGGAATTCCCGTTTTTTTTATGGGAATTTTTTTTGGGAATTCCTGGGGTTTTATGGGATTTTTTTGGGAAAAATTCCCGGTTTTTTATGGGATTTTATGGAATTTTTTTGAGGGGAAAAAAAGGGATTTTTTGATGGAAAAAAGGGGAAAAAAAACCTGGAAAAGAGTTGGGAATTGGGGGAATTTGGGGAATTTTGGAAAACTGGGAAAAGGGGGAAAAAAAACTCCTGGAAAAATGGGAATGGAGGGGTTGGAAAACACGAGGGAAGAAAAATGGGAATAAAAAAAAAACCTCGGGAATTCCAAACAATGGGAATAAAAAAACTCCCCCTTTTTTTTTTCCTTGCTGGGATTAAAAAAAAAAAATGGAATTTTATGGGAAAAAATTGGGAATATTCCAATTAAAAAAAATATTCCAATTTAAAAGAATTAAAAGTGGGAAAAAGCTCCAAAAAAAAGTGGGAAAAGGTCCAAAAAAAAAAGTGGGAAAAGGCTCCAAAAAAAGGTGGGAAAAGTTAAAAAAAAAAGTGGGAAAAGATCCCAAAAAAAGTGGGAAAAACTCCCAAAAAAAAGTGGGAAAAGACTCCAAAAAAAGTGGGAAAAGGTCCAAAAAAAAGTGGGAAAAAATTCCCAAAAAAAGTGGGAAAAGGATCAAAAAAAAGTTGGAAAAAACTCCAAAAAAAGTGGGAAAAAATTCCCAAAAAAAGTGGGAAAAAGCTCCAAAAAAAAGTGGGAAAAAACTCCCCAAAAAAGTGGGAAAAGGCTCCAAAAAAAAAGGGGGAAAAGACTGGAAAAAAAGTGGGAAAAGCTCCCAAAAAAAGTGGGAAAAGGTTCTAAAAAAATGTGGGAAAAAATTCCCAAAAAAGAAGGGAAAGGCTCCAAAAAAAGTGGGAAAAGGTTAAAAAGAAAAGTGGGAAAAGATTCCCAAAAAAAGTGGGAAAAGATTCCAAAAAAAAGTGGGAAAAGGTTCCAAAAAAAAGTAGGAAAAGGTTCCAAAAAAAGTGGGAAAAAAACCCCAAAAAAAGTGGGAAAAGGTTCTTAAAAAAGTGGGGAAAAACTCCCCAAAAAAAGTGGGAAAAGGATCCAAAAAAAAGTGGGAAAAGGTTCAAAAAAAAGTGGGAAAAGGTTCTAAAAAAAGTGGGAAAAGCTCCCCAAAAAAGTGGGAAAAAATTCCCAAAAAAGTGGGAAAAGATTCCCCAAAAAAAGGGGGAAAAGATTCCCAAAAAAAGGGGGAAAAGGCTCCAAAAAAAGTGGGAAAAAGTTCTAAAAAAGTGGGAAAAGGTTCCCAAAAAAAGGTGGGAAAAAACTCCCAAAAAAAGTGGGAAAAGTTCCCAAAGAAAAGTGGGAAAAGATTCCCAAAAAAGTGGGAAAAGGTCAAAAAAAAAAGTGGGAAAAGGCTCCAAAAAAAGTGGGAAAAACTCAAAAAAAAAGTGGGAAAAGGTTCCAAAAAAAGTGGGAAAAGATTCCCAAAAAAGTGGGAAAAAGTTCCAAAAAAAAGTGGGAAAAGATTCCCAAAAAAAGTGGGAAAAAGTTCCAAAAAAAAGTGGGAAAAGTTCAAAAAAAAGGGGGAAAAAGTTCAAAAAAAAAGTGGGAAAAGCCTGGAAAAAAAGTGGGAAAAACTAAAAAAAAAAAGTGGGAAAAAAGGTCCAAAAAAAGTGGGAAAAAATTCCCCAAAAAAGTGGGAAAAAGTTCCCAAAAAAAGTGGGAAAAATTCCCAAAAAAAGTGGGAAAAAATTCCCAAAAAAAGTGGGAAAAGGTTCCCAAAAAAAGTGGGAAAAGATCCCAAAAAAAAGTGGGAAAAGGTTCTAAAAAGAGTGGGAAAAGGTCCAAAAAAAGTGGGAAAAAGCTCAAAAAAAGTGGGAAAAGCCTGGAAAAAGAGTCAAAAAAAAGTGGGAAAAGGTTCCCAAAAAAAAGTGGGAAAAGGTTGCAAAAAAAGTGGGAAAAAACTCCAAAAAAAGTGGGAAAAAGCTCCAAAAAAAGTGGGAAAAAGTTCCAAAAAAAGTGGGAAAAAACTCCCAAAAAAAGTGGGAAAAGGTTCCAAAAAAAAGTGGGAAAAGGTTAAAAAAAAAAGTGGGAAAAAATTCCCAAAAAAAGTGGGAAAAGATTCCCAAAAAAGTAGGAAAAACTCAAAAAAAAAGTGGGAAAAGACTCCAAAAAAAAGTGGGAAAATATTCCCAAAAAAAGTGGGAAAAAGTTCCCAAAAAAAGTGGGAAAAAATTCCCAAAAAAAGTGGGAAAAGACTCCAAAAAAAGTGGGAAAAGATTCCAAAAAAAAGTGGGAAAAGACTCAAAAAAAGTGGAAAAGGTTCCAAAAGTGGGAAAAGACTCCAAAAAAAGTGGGAAAAGATTCCAAAAAAAAGTGGGAAAAGATCCCAAAAAAAGTGGGAAAAGGTTCCAAAAAAAGTGGGAAAAGGTTAAAAAAAAGTGGGAAAAGATTCCAAAAAGTGGGAAAAGATCCAAAAAAAGTGGGAAAAGATTCCAAAAAAGTGGGAAAAAGTTCAAAAAAAGTGGGAAAAGGATCAAAAAAAAAGTGGGAAAAAATTCCCCAAAAAAGTGGGAAAAGGTTCCAAAAAAAGTGGGAAAAGATTCCAAAAAAAGGTGGGAAAAAGCTCCAAAAAAAGTGGGAAAAGACTCCCAAAAAAGTGGGAAAAGGTTCTAAAAAAAGTGGGAAAAGACTCCCAAAAAAAGTGGGAAAAGATTCCAAAAAAGTGGGAAAAGGTTCCAAAAAAAGTGGGAAAAGGATCAAAAAAAAAGTGGGAAAAGCCTGGAAAAAAAATCCAAAAAAAAGTGGGAAAAAATTCCCAAAAAAGTGGGAAAAAGATTCCAAAAAAAAGTGGGAAAAGGATCCAAAAAAAGTGGGAAAAAGTTCAAAAAAAGTGGGAAAAGGATCAAAAAAAGTGGGAAAAGGATCCAAAAAAAAGTGGGAAAAAATTCCCAAAAAAAGTGGGAAAAGGTCCCAAAAAAAAAGTGGGAAAAAGTTTCAAAAAAAGTGGGAAAAGGTTCCAAAAAAAGTGGGAAAAGATTCCAAAAAAAAGTGGGAAAAGATTCCAAAAAAAGTGGGAAAAGGATCCAAAAAAAGTTTGGAATTCCCAAAGTTTTGATCCCATTTTTTATTCCCAAAGTTTGGGAATTCCCAAGATTTTTTTATCCCATTTTTGATTCCCAAAGTTTGGGAATTCCCAAGATTTTTTTTTTCCCATTTTTGATTCCCAAAATTTGGGAATTCCCAAGATTTTTTTAATCTCATTTTTTTATTCCCAAAATTTTGGGAATTCCCAAAATTTTTTAATCCCATTTTTTATTCCCAAAATTTGAGAATTCCCAAATTTTTTTATCTCATTTTTTATTCCCAAAATTTGGGAATTCCCAAAATTTTTAATCCCATTTTTATTCCCAAAATTTGGGAATTCCCAAAATTTTTAATCCCATTTTTTATTCCCAAAATTTGGGAATTCCCAAATTTTTATCCCATTTTTTTCCCAAAATTTGGGAATTCCCAAATTTTTTTATCCCATTTTTTATTCCCAAAGTTTGAGAATTCCCAAATTTTTTATCCCATTTTTTTATTCCCAAAGTTTGAGAATTCCCAAATTTTTAATCCCATTTTTTATTCCCAAAGTTTGGGAATTCCCAAGATTTTTAATCCCATTTTTTATTCCCAAAATTTGGAAATTCCCAAAATTTTTATTCCCATTTTTGATTCCCAAAATTTGGGAATTTCCAAGATTTTTAATCTCATTTTTATTCCCAAAGTTTGGGAATTCCCAAGAATTTTTAATCCCATTTTTTATTCCCAAAATTTGGGAATTCCCAAAATTTTTTATCCCATTTTTTATTCCCAAAGTTTGGGAATTCCCAAGATTTTTATTCCCAAATTTTTGATCCCATTCCTGAGAATTTCTGGGAGAAATTGGGAGGGAATTTCTGGGAATTTCTGGGAAAAAAATGGAAGGAATTTCTGGGAATTTCTGGGAATTTCTGGGAAAAAATGGAAAAAATTTCTGGGAATTTCTGGGAAAAAAAGGAAAGGAATTTGTGGGAATTTCTGGGAAAAAATGGAAGGGATTTGTGGGAATTTCTGGGAATTTCTGGGAAAAAATGGAAGGGATTTGTGGGAATTTCTGAGAAAAAAATGGAAGGGATTTGTGGGAATTTCTGGGAAAAAATGGAAGGGAATTTGTGGGAATTTCTGGGAAAAAATGGAAGGGATTTGTGGGAATTTCTGGGAATTTCTGGGAAAAATTGGGGGGAATTTGTGGGAATTTCTGGGAAAAAATGGAAGGAATTTCTGGGAATTTCTGGGAAAAAAAGGAAGGGATTTGTGGGAATTTCTGGGAATTTCTGGGAGAAATTGGGGGGAAATTCTGGGAATTTCTGGGAAAAATGGAAGGAATTTCTGGGAATTTCTGGAAAAATGAAGGAATTTCTGGGAATTTCTGGGAAAAAAATGGAAGGGATTTGTGGGAATTTCTGGGAAAAAATGGAAGGGAATTTCTGGGAATTTCTGGGAAAAAAGGGAAGGGAATTTGTGGGAATTTCTGGGAATTTCTGGGAAAAAATGGAAGGGATTTGTGGGAATTTCTGGGAATTTCTGGGAAAAAATGGAAGGGATTTGTGGGAATTTGTGGGAATTTCTGGGAAAAAATGGAAGGGATTTGTGGGAATTTCTGGGAAAAATGGAAGGAATTTCTGGGAATTTCTGGGAAAAAAATGGGGGGGGAATTTTTGGGAATTTCTGGGAATTTCTGGGAAAAAAGGGAAGGGATTTGTGGGAATTTCTGGGAAAAAAGGGAAGGAATTTCTGGGAATTTCTGGGAAAAAATGGAAGGGATTTGTGGGAATTTCTGGGAAAAAAAGGAAGGGATTTGTGGGAATTTCTGGGAAAAAAAGGAAGGAATTTGTGGGAATTTCTGGGAAAAAAGGGAAGGAATTTCAGGGAATTTCTGGGAAAAAATGGAAGGGATTTGTGGGAATTTCTGGGAATTTCTGGGAGAAATTGGGAGGGAATTTCTGGGAATTTCTGGGAATTTCTGGGAAAAAAGGGAGGGAATTTCTGGGAATTTTTTGGGAAAAAAATGGAAGGAATTTCTGGGAATTTCTGGGAAAAAAGGGAAGGGATTTGTGGGAATTTCTGGGAATTTCTGGGAGAAATTGGGAGGGATTTGTGGGAATTTCTGGGAATTTCTGGGAAAAAATGGAAGGAATTTGTGGGAATTTCTGGGAAAGAAATGGAAGGGATTTGTGGGAATTTCTGGGAAAAATTGGGGGGGAATTTCTGGGAATTTCTGGGAAAAAATGGGAGGGATTTGTGGGAATTTCTGGGAGAAATTGGGGGGGAATTTTGGGAATTTGTGGGAATTTCTGGGAAAAAAAGGAAGGAATTTCTTGGAATTTCTTGGAATTTCTGGGAAAAAATGGAAGGAATTTGTGGGAATTTATGGGAAAAAATGGAAGGGATTTGTGGGAATTTCTGGGAAAAAATGGAAGGGATTTGTGGGAATTTCTGGGAAAAAATGGAAGGAATTTGTGGGAATTTCTGGGAGAAATTCCTGGGAATTTATGGAATTTTTTTGAGATTTATTGGGATTAAAATGAATTTATGGATTTTGATCCCATTGGGAATTCCCAAGGATTTGGGAATGGGAATGGGAATTGTGGGAATTCCTGTGGGGAATTTTGTGGGAATTTCTGTTGGAATTTTGGGGGGATTTCTGTTGGAATTTTATTGGAATTTTATGGGAATTTTATGGGAGAATTTTGTGGGAATTCTGTGGGAGTTTTATGGGAATTTTATGGGAATTATGTGTGAAGTTTTTATGAATTTTCTGGGAATTCTGTGGGAATTTTCTGGGAATTTTCTGGGAGAATTTTGTGGGAATCCTGTGGCAATTTTCTGGGAATATTCTGGGATTTTTCTGGGAATTTTCTGGGAATATTCTGGGAATTTTGTGGGAATATTCTGGGAATTTTGTGTTAATTTTCTGGGAATTTTGTGGGAATATTCTGGGAATATTCTGGGAATTTTCTGGGAATTTTCTGGGAATTTTTGTGGGAATTTTATTGGAATATTCTGGGAATTTTGTGGGAATTTTATGGGAATTTTCTGAAAATTTTGGGGGGATTTTTTTTAATTTTCTGGGAATATTCTGGGAATTTTCTGACAATTTTATGGGAATTTTCTGGGAATTTTCTGGTAATATTCTTGGAATTTTCTGACAATTTTGTAGGGATTTTTGGGAATTTTCTGGTAATATTCTTGGAATTTTCTGACAATTTTGTAGGGATTTTTTTGGGAATTTTCTGGGAATTTTGTGGGATTTTTATGGGAGAATTTTTTGGGAATTCTGTGGGTATTTTGTGGAAATTTTATTGGAATATTCTGGTAATTTTCTGGAATTTTCTGTCAATTTCCTGTCAATTTTCTGTCAATTTTCTAGGAATTTTCTGTCAATTTTGTTGGGATTTTCTGGGAATATTCTGGGAATGTTGTGGCAATTTTATGGGAGAATTTTGTGGGAATTTTGTGTCAATTTTATGGCAATTTTTTGGGAATATTCTGGTAATTTTCTGACAATTTTGTGGGGATTTTCTGGGAATTTTGTGAGGATTTTCTGGGAATTTTCTGGGACTATTCTGGGAACTCTGTGGTGGGTTCCTTTGGGAATTCTTTGGGAATTTTCTTGGAATTTTCTGAGAATTTTGTGGGGATTTTCTGGGAATTTTCTGGGAATATTTTGGGAATTTTCTGACAACTTTATGGGGATTTTCTGGGAATTTCCTGACAATTTTGTGGGAATTTTCTGAGAATTTTGTGGGGATTTTCTGGGAATTTTTGTGGCAATTTTGTGACAATTTTATTGGAATATTGTGGGAATTTTCTAGGAATTCTCTGAGAATTTTCTGTCAATTTTCTAGGAATATTCTGGGAATATTCTGGGAATATTCTGGGGAATTTTCTGTAAATATTCCTGGAATTTTCTGAGAATTTTTTGTCAATTTTCTGACAATTTTCTGGTAATTTTCTGGGAATTCTCTGACAATTTTCTAGGAATTTTCTGTCAATTTTATGGGGAATATTCTGGGAATTTTCTGAGAATTTTGTGGGGATTTTTGGGGGATTTTCTGGGAATATTCTGTCAATTTTGTGGGGATTTTTATGAGAGAATTTTTTGGGAATTCTCTGGTAATTTTCTGGGAATATTCTGACAATTTTCTGGTAATTTTCTGGGAATTTTCTGAGAATTTTCTGTCAATTTTCTAGGAATTCTCTGGTAATTTTCTGAGAATTTTCTAGGAATTCTCTGGTAATTTCCGGGGAATTTTTTGGGAATTTTATGGGAGAATTTTGTGGGAATTTTATTGGAATATTCTGGGAATTTTCTAGGAATTTTCTGGGAATTTTTTGGGGATTTTTGGGGGAATTTTCTGAGAATATTTTGGGAATATTCTGGGAATATTCTGGTAATTTTCTGTCAATTTTTTTGGAAATTTCTGGGAATTTTTGTGACAATTTTATGGGAATTTTTTGAGAATTTTGTGACAATTTTCTGTCAATTTTCTAGGAATTCTCTGGTAATTTTCTGTGAATTTTCTGACAATTTTGGGGGATTTTTGGGGGAATTTTCTGAGAATATTCTGCGAATTTTGTGGGGATTTTTATGGGAGAATTTATTGGGAATTCTGTGGGAATATTCTGGTAATTTTATGGGAATTTTTTTGGGAATTTTCTGTCAATTTCCTGTCAATTTTCTGGTAATTTTCTGAGAATATTCTGACAATTTTCTGGTAATTTCCTGTCATATTTCTAGGAACTTTCTATCAATTTTCTGGGAATATTCTGGTAATTTTCTGTAAATTTTCTGGTAATATTCTGACAATTTTGTGGGGATTTTCTGTGAATATTCTGACAATTTTTGGGGGGAATTTTCTGGGAATTTTTCTGACAATTTTATTGGAATATTCTGGTAATTTTCTAGGAATATTCCGAGAATTTTCTGACAATTTTCTGATAATTTTCTGTAAATTTCCTGTCAATTTTCTGAGGATTTTCTGTACAATTTTCTGTCAATTTCCTGAGAATTTTCTGGGAATTTTTGTGACCTTTTTATGGGAATTTTCTGGGAATTTTCTGAGAATATTCTGGGAATTTTCTGAGAATTTTCTGTCAATTTTCTAGGAACTTTCTATCAACTTTCTGGGAATATTCTGTCAATTTTTGGGGAATTTTCTAGGAATTTTGTGGTAATTTTCTGGGAATATTCTGTCAATTTTCTGACAATTTCGTGTCAATTTTCTGAGAATTTTCTAGGAATTTTCTGACAATTTTCTGGGAATTTTCTGTAAATTTCCTGTCAATTTTCTGAGAATTTTCTGGTAATTTTCTGAGAATTTTCTGGGACTTCTATGAGAATTTTGTGGGGATTTTTTTTGGAATTTTTTGAGAATTTTGTGGGGATTTTTTGGGAATTCTCTAGGAATATTCTGTAAATTTTCTGTCAATTTTATGGGAATATTCTCGTAATTTCCTGTCAATTTTCTGACAATTTCCTGTCAATTTTCTGAGAATTTTCTGTAAATTTCCTGTCAATTTTCTGGTAATTTTCTGGGAATATCCTGTCAATTTTCTGACTATTTTCTGGTAATTTTCTGGGAATTTTCTGTAAATTTCCTGTCAATTTCCTGAGAATTTTCTGGGAATTTTTGTGACCTTTTTATGGGAATTTTCTGGGAATATTCTGTCAATTTTCTGTGAATTTTCTGGGAATATTCTGTAAATTTCCTGTCAATTTTCTGGTAATTTTCTGGTAATTTTCTGGTAATTTCCTGTCGTATTTCTAGGAACTTTCTATCAATTTTCTGGGAATATTCTGGTAATTTTCTGACAATTTTGTGGGGATTTTCTGGGAATTTTGTGAGGATTTTCTGGGAATTTTCTGGGACTATTCTGGGAACTCTGTGGTGGGTTCCTTTGGGAATTCTTTGGGAATTTTCTTGGAATTTTCTGAGAATTTTGTGGGGATTTTCTGGGAATTTTCTGGGAATATTTTGGGAATTTTCTGACAACTTTATGGGGATTTTCTGGGAATTTCCTGACAATTTTGTGGGAATTTTCTGAGAATTTTGTGGGGATTTTCTGGGAATTTTTGTGGCAATTTTGTGACAATTTTATTGGAATATTGTGGGAATTTTCTAGGAATTTTCTGGGAATATTCTAGGAATTTTCTGTCAATTTTGTAGGGATTTTTTGGGGAATATTCTGCGAATTTTGTGGGGATTTTTATGGGAGAATTTTTGGGGAATTCTGTGGGAATATTCTGGTAATTTTATGGGAATTTTTTGGGGAATTTTCTGTAAATTTCCTGTCAATTTTCTGTCAATTTTCTGGTAATTTTCTGATAATTTTCTGGTAATTTCCTGTCATATTTCTAGGAACTTTCTATCAATTTTCTGGGAATATTCTGGGAATATTCTGACAATTTTCTAGGAATTTTCTGTCAATTTTTGGGGGATTTTTGGGGGAATTTCTGAGAATATTCTGTCAATTTTGTGGGGATTTTTATGGGAGAATTTATTGGGAATTCTGTGGGAATATTCTGGTAATTTTATGGGAATTTTTGGGGGAATTTTCTGTGAATATTCTGAGAATTTTGTAGGGATTTTTCTGGGGAATTTTCTGTAAATTTCCTATCAATTTCCTGTCAATTTCCTGACAATTCTCTGCTAATTCCCCGTCAATTTCCTATCAACTTCCTGATAACATCCTGCTAATTCCCTCTCCCCCCTCATCCCCTCTTTTTCTTTCCCCTCCCCCCTCAGCCTCCCCCCTCTTCTCCTCCCTGCGCTTCCACCTGGAGCCCTCTGACGTCACCGCCCCCCGGGGCTCCTCCGTCTCCTTCCACTGCTCCGCCCGCTCCCGGCTCGGCGTCCCCGCCATCAGCTGGCTCAAAGATTCCATCAGCATCCATTTACAGCCCCACGAGCGGCGGGAGCTGCTCCCCAACGGCTCCCTGCTCATCCATCAGCTCCTCCACTCGCGCCATCAGCAGCCTGATGAGGGGTTTTATCAGTGTGAGGTCACCCTGGGGGCGTCGGCGTCATCGTCAGCCGGCGGGCCAGGCTGGTGGTGGCGGGTGAGGAGTGGAAAATTCTGGGAATTCTGGGAATTTCTGGGTGGGAATGACGTCATTTTAGTCTCTCAGGGGGATGATTGTCAATGGAAATGGAATTGCTGATGGGAATGATGTCATTTGAACCTGAGGGGGGTAAATTGTCCCTGGAAATGGAATTGCTGGTGGGAATTGTAGGATTTTATCCCCTTTTCCATGGAAAGACTTGGAGGGAGGAGGTCAAGCTGGTGGTGGTGGATGAGGAAGGGGGATTTTTGGGAATTTTGGGGATTTCTGGGAATTTCTGGGGGTTTCTGGGGTGGGAATGACATCATTTGAGTCCCTCAGGTGGATAAATTGTCCCTGGAAAAGTTGGGAGTGGGAATAGGATGGGAATAGGATGGGAATTTTGGGGGAGGGTCAAGCTGATGGTGGTGGGTGAGGAGTGGGAAATTCTGGGAATTCTGGGAATTTCTGGGAATTTCTGGGGGTTTCTGGGGTGGGAATTGTGGGATTGGATGTCAATCAGGGGGTAAATTGTCCCTGGAAATGGAATTGCTGGTGGGAATTGTAGGATTTTATCCCCTTGAGGGGGGTAAATTGTCCATGGAAAAGTTGGGAGTGGGGGAATTGGAGGGTTTGGTGTCGATTAGAGGGATAAAAGTCCATGGAAAGGGAATTCCCACTGGGAATTCTGGGAATTTCTGGGAATTTCTGGGGATTCTGGGGTGGGAATTGTGGGTTTGGATGTCAATCAGGGGGTAAATTGTCCCTGGAAAAGTTGGGAGTGGGAATAGGATGGGAATAGGATGGGAATTTTGGGGAGAGGGTCAAGCTGATGGTGGGGGATGAGGAAGGGGAATTTTCTGGGAATTTTGGGGATTTCTGGGAATTTCTGAGGATTTCTGGGGGTTCTGGGGTGGGAATTGTGGGATTGGATGTCAATCAGGGGGTAAATTGTCGATGGAAAGATTTGGAGTGGGGGAATTGGAGGGTTTGGGGTCAATTAATGGGATGGTTGTCAATTGGAGAGGGGAATTCCTGGTGGGAATTGTGGGATTGGAGCCCCTGGATTATCCCTGGAAAAAATCTGGAATGGGAATTGTAGGGTTTGGTGTCGATTAGAGGGATAAAAGTCCATGGAAAGGGAATTCCTGGTGGGAATTGGGAGGGTTTGGGGTTGATTAATGGGATGATTAGACCTGGAAAGGGAATTCCCACTGGGAATTCTGGGAATTTCTGAGGATTCTAGGGGATTCTGGAGTGGGAATGACATCATTTTAGCCTCTGGATTATCCCTGGAAAAGTTGGGAGTGGGAATTGGAGGATTGGCTGTGGATTAGGGTCAATAGGCTGTCGATGGTTGTCAATTGGAAAGGGAATTCCCACTGGGAATTCTGGGGATTCTGGGGTGGGAATGACGTCATTTGAGCTTCTGAGGGGGGTAAATTGTCCCTGGAAAAGTTGGGAGTGGGAATAGGATGGGAATAGGATGGGAATTTTGGGGAGAGGGTCAAGCTGATGGTGGTGGATGAAGAGGGGAATTTTCTGGGAATTCTGGGGATTTCTGGGAATTTCTGGGAATTCTGGGGTGGGAATTGTGGGATTGGATGTCAATCAGGGGGTAAATTGTCCCTGGAAATGGAATTGCTGGTGGGAATTGTAGGATTTGATCCCCTTGAGGGGGGTAAATTGTCCATGGAAAAGTTTGGGAGTGGGGGAATTGGAGGGTTTGGTGTCGATTAGAGGGATAAAAGTCCATGGAAAGGGAATTCCCACTGGGAATTCTGGGGATTCTGGGGTGGGAATGACGTCATTTGAGTCTCTCAGGTGGATAAATTGTCCCTGGAAAAGTTGGGAGTGGGAATAGGATGGGAATAGGATGGGAATTTTGGGGAGAGGGTCAAGCTGGTGGTGGTGGATGAGGAAGGGGAATTTTCTGGGAATTCTGGGAATTTCTGGGAATTTCTGGGGGTTCTGGGGTGGGAATTGTGGGATTGGATGTCAATCAGGGGGTAAATTGTCCCTGGAAATGGAATTGCTGGTGGGAATGATGTCATTTGAGTTCCAAGTGGGAATAGGATGGGAATAGGATGGGAATTTTGGGGAGAGGGTCAAGCTGATGGTGGTGGGTGAGGAAGGGGAAATTTTCTGGGAATTTTGGGGATTTCTGGGAATTTCTGGGGGTTTCTGGGGTGGGAATTGTGGGATTGGATGTCAATCAGGGGGTAAATTGTCCATGGAAAGATTTGGAGTGGGGCAATTGGAGGGTTTGGTGTCGATTAAGGGGATGGTTGTCAATTAGAAAGGGAATTCCCACTGGGAATTCTGGGGATTCTGGGAATTTCTGGGGGTTTTTGGGGTGGGAATTGTGGGATTGGATGTCAATCAGGGGGTAAATTGTCCATGGAAAAGTTGGGAGTTGGGAATTGGAGGATTGGCTGTGGATTAGGGTCAATAGGCTGTCGATGGTTGTCAATTGGAAAGGGAATTCCCACTGGGAATTCTGGGGGTTCTGGGGTGGGAATGACGTCATTTGAGTCCCTCAGGTGGAAAATTGTCCATGGAAAAGTTGGGAGTGGGAATAGGATGGGAATAGGATGGGAATTTTAGGGAGAGGGTCAAGCTGGTGGTGGTGGATGAGGAAGGGAAATTTCTGGGAATTCTGGGAATTTCTGGGAATTTCTGGGGGTTCTGGGGTGGGAATTGAGGGATTGGATGTCAATCAGGGGGTAAATTGTCCCTGGAAATGGAATTGCTGGTGGGAATTGTAGGATTTGATCCCATTGAGGGGGGTAAATTGTTCATGGAAAAGTTTGGGAGTGGGGGAATTGGAGGGTTTGGTGTCGATTAGAGGGATAAAAGTCCATGGAAAGGGAATTCCCACTGGGAATTCTGGGGATTCTGGGGTGGGAATGACGTCATTTGAGCTTCTGAGGGGGGTAAATTGTCCCTGGAAAAGTTTGGGAGTGGGAATAGGATGGGAATAGGATGGGAATTTTAGGGAGAGGGTCAGGCTGGTGGTGGTGGGTGAGGAGTGGGAATTTTCTGGGAATTTTGGGGATTTCTGGGAATTTCTGGGGGTTCTGGGGTGGGAATTGTGGGATTGGATGTCAATCAGGGGGTAAATTGTCCCTGGAAATGGAATTGCTGGTGGGAATGAGGTCATTTGAGTTCCAAGTGGGAATAGGATGGGAATAGGATGGGAATTTTGGGGAGAGGGTCAAGCTGCTGGTGGTGGGTGAGGAAGGGGAATTTTCTGGGAATTTTGGGGATTTCTGGGAATTTCTGGGGGTTCTGGAGTGGGAATTGTGGGATTGGATGTCAATCAGGGGGTAAATTGTCCCTGGAAATGGAATTGCTGGTGGGAATTGTAGGATTTGATCCCCTTGAGGGGGGTAAATTGTCCATGGAAAAGTTTGGGAGTGGGGGAATTGGAGGGTTTGGTGTCGATTAGAGGGATAAAAGTCCATGGAAAGGGAATTCCCACTGGGAATTCTGGGGATTCTGGGGTGGGAATGACGTCATTTGAGTCCCTCAGGTGGAAAATTGTCCATGGAAAAGTTGGGAGTGGGAATAGGATGGGAATAGGATGGGAATTTTGGGGAGAGGGTCAAGCTGGTGGTGGTGGGTGAGGAAGGGGATTTTTTGGGAATTTTGGGGATTTTTGGGAATTTCTGGGAATTTCTGGGGAATTCTGGGGTGGGAATTGTGGGATTTGATGTCAATCAGGGGGTAAATTGTCCCTGGAAATGGAATTGCTGGTGGGAATGAGGTCATTTGAGTTCCAAGTGGGAATAGGGTGGGAATTTGGGGAGAGGGTCAAGCTGATGGTGGTGGGTGAGGAGTGGGAATTTCTGGGAATTCTGGGGATTTTTGGGGGTTTCTGGGGGTTTCTGGGGTGGGAATGACGTCATTTGAGTCCCTCAGGTGGAAGATTGTCCATGGAAAAGTTTGGGAGTGGGGGAATTGGAGGGTTTGGTGTCGATTAAGGGGATGGTTGTCAATTGGGAAGGGGAATTCCTGGTGGGAATTGGGAGGGTTTGGTGTCGATTAAGGGGATGGTTGTCAATTGGGAAGGGCAATTCCTGGTGGGAATTGTGGGGTTGGAGCCCCTGGATTATCCCTGGGAAAAAGCTGGAATGGGAATTGTAGGGTTTGGTGTCGATGGGGGATGGTTGTCAATTGGAAAGGTTTGGAGTGGGAATAGGATGGGAATTTTGGGAGAGGGTCAAGCTGATGGTGGTGGATGAGGAGTGGGAAATTCTGGGAATTCTGGGGTGGGAATGACATCATTTGAGCTTCTGAGGGGGGTAAATTGTCCCTGGAAATGGAATTGCTGGTGGGAATGAGGTCATTTGAGTTCCAAGTGGGAATAGGATGGGAATTTTAGGGAGAGGGTCAAGCTGATGGTGGGGGGTGAGGAAGGGGATTTTTTGGGAATTTTGGGGATTTCTGGGAATTTCTGGGGGTCTCTGGGGTGGGAATGACGTCATTTGAGTCCCTCAGGTGGATAAATTGTCCCTGGAAAAGTTTGGGAGTTGGGAATTGGAGGATTGGCTGTGGATTAGGGTCAATAGGCTGTCGATGGTTGTCAATTGGAAAGGGAATTCCCACTGGGAATTCTGGGAATTCCTGGGGTGGGAATGACATCATTTGAGCTTCTGAGGGGGGTAAATTGTCCCTGGAAAAGTTGGGAGTGGGAATAGGATGGGAATAGGATGGGAATTTTGGGGAGAGGGTCAAGCTGGTGGTGGTGGATGAGGAAGGGGAATTTTTGGGAATTCTGGGGAATTCTGGGAATTTCTGGGGGTTCTGGGGTGGGAATTGTGGGATTGGATGTCAATCAGGGGGTAAATTGTCCCTGGAAAAGTTGGGAGTGGGAATAGGATGGGAATAGGATGGGAATTTTGGGGAGAAGGTCAAGCTGATGGTGGAGGGTGAAGAGGGGGAATTTTTGGGAATTTTGGGGATTTCTGGGAATTTCTGGGAATTCTGGGGTGGGAATTGTGGGATTTGATGTCAATCAGGGGGTAAATTGTCCCTGGAAATGGAATTGCTGGTGGGAATGAGGTCATTTGAGTTGGGAGTGGGAATAGGATGGGAATTTGGGGAGAGGGTCAAGCTGGTGGTGGTGGATG